TATCGTGCTGAATTTTGTTAACAAGAAAAGGGAACCTCCAGTAGTATCATCTTCAGTAGACGTTTCTGAAGAATTCTCAGCCATTGGCCATAGTGTTCCCATGATCCAACGTATGACCATCTCTAGGCGATCATCCAATAGCCTTAGACCTGATGAGGTCTCCTCAACTTTAAGTAAAACACGAAGATGAGCTATTTCTGTCCTATTGACTACTATCTTCTCTTTGTGCCTCCAGGCTAATCTATATCCTGAACATTGCAAAAATTTTGCGATTATACCATGATAAAAGACTGGATCGAAAAAGAACATACGAAAGTACCGTCAGATTAGCCACACTGTCAGCTTTCCAAGAAGGTTAGAAATGCTAAGCAGCATTGAGTCTCCGTCTAATTATGGCGCCGTTTCCGCTCGCCTCCACAAGATGGCTTCCTAAAGTCACGCAAGCGTGTGACCTGACAAGTCAGCTTATTAAAACACATCACAGACACGCCTGATTCAGTTCGGCAGTGCATAAACATATGCATACACATGCAAACAGCATTTGATATGCCACATAAACCGCTGCAATAGAAACTAAGCATAAACGAGATCAAAGGTCTGTCTTCGACTCCAGGGTGCTGAATCTGCCGACAATGACTACACCCTTCGTGTCTCTGGCGATACTGAGTCAATGGCTCAAGGTATCTACGGTGTTGATGTAGCTCTCAGCAAACATGCTGAAAGCAATCTACTCCAATGGAGACCGGGGAACAGCCGCATGTGTGCTGTTCGACTTCAAACCCTTAATGGGGTTAATAAGAACCGATTGAAGACAAAGTGCCTTTCCATCGTCTACGTTTATGTCCCTACGGACGGTAGTGCACGCCAGGCGGCTTTCCTACATTGCTGCTGAAAAATGGAGGTGACCTTTTGTTGACTGGAATTGCTTCGTTATGTAACACGATTTGGGACTCTGAGGAGGTGCTTTCAGACTAGCGACCGTCAATTGTTGTGTCCATCTTCTAAAAGGTTAACGGACTTTGTATGAAAGTCATTTATGCATGAGCTTATGTACACCGCCTCCAAACTTCTCACGAGTATCATTATTGGACGACTTCATGGTCCTGGAGAGAACCAGTGGTTGCAGACTATCAGACATGAGCAGTCGCGTAGTCAATGGCGTATGTGCATTCGGTTTCTTGCCTCCATGAAATAATTTTCCACCCCGATTGGTTTTACGCACGTCGGTACTGATTAAATTTCATCTGTATTATATTTGCGTTTAGCCTCATTCTTTTAGCATTGTTATGCATTGTCATTATGGCGACAAGTCGTGGCAATTGAATTCCCGGCACTTCGGTACGCGGATCATAGCTGTGCAACTGAATTGAGCTGATGAGCATTACTATCCTTTTTTGGAACAACTCGTATTTAATATTCTCCTTATTGCACTCATGGCCACGAATGGACCCATCTGCTGAGGTGACGGATTGCAGCTTTCAAGCTAAAAAGTTTCCCAATGCAAGGGGTGTTGTCATTGACTCACTGGCGTATAAAATGGGACCGTGTTCGAAAAAACCAAACGATGGAATGGCAGGATGGCTTAAGTGCATGAGTTAAAGAAACGATGGCTCATTTGCCTTTAAGCTACACTGGCATGCGGCCAGCCGGGACGCGGAAATGTGGCGAAACCTCTCGAGGGACTGCCCTTCATAGAAACGGGTCCCGTAGGGACGATTCCAATGAGTTACAGCGGATTTTCCAAGTCCAATTTTGAGTTGCGTATTACTGCACTTGAATATTTGGCTGTATCCGAGTATTATACGGTTCCAATTTCTCAATCTTTCTGATACATTTAACTTGCTAATCAGTCTAAAAATCTGTTCGAGAACCACTGAAAAATTCTAAGAAATACCTGTTCCCCGCGGCCTCGTTGTACATAATGATCAGATCACGCACTTGGAATGTATCTCGCACTGTCCATGAATATGCTATTTGTTTATTTATTTATTTAGATGACACATTGGCACAAGTTAACGACAGTGCCTATGCAATAGAAGACAATCGCTTACAGGCAAACGGCTCACTCACTGTGGACAGCTGATCTCACAAGGCCTAAGCAGATTGGTTGGAACGGCATACGAAAATAATAGGAATGTTGAGCGATATGCTGTTGATGAATTAGCGGAATTGTGCGTACAGACAACTGTGCCTGAGAAGAACAATGACAGGATAGTCTGTTGGATGCAGTCCATTTAGTTTGATTAGCTGCCTTCACTAGAGTGCGCCTAAAAGGCACGGGGGCACGTTCACAAGTGCGCAGTAATCTGGATCAGTTAGTCCGGAGACATCATTACAGAGATCCAGTTTGGTGCGAAAATTTTCATTCATTTAGTTAATCAGTTGGTTAGATGACCAAAAGTTAAAATAAAAGAAGGACAATTACTTGTTACTTTCGATCACAAAGCTAATGATAGGCAATCCTGATGCGCATCGATTATTATAATGAACGAATAGAGGCCAGCTCGGTTCGAGCTGATTCAAAACTGCTGCGTAGCAATGAGACAGAAAGGTATGATTCAAGTGTCGATATGGCAAGCAACCGCAACTAGGCTCAGTATTTCGATCGCTCTGATAAAGTCCTCTGGCTTCCTACAGATATGGACGATGCGATTTAGCACCAGTTTGTAGCTATTTCCGGCCTTTCACTGTCCATAGTTAACAATCGTATATGAGCGGAGTTAGGTGCTTTACTTCAACTTAACAAATACGGTTCAAGTTGAGTTTCCACGAAGGAACCAACGAGAAGTTAGAACGCCGATTCGGATTAGGCGATGTCAGCAACCGCAGAAAAACGGTTGTGCTATCTCTTCTTCCAAATACTCCGTTCCATGGATACCGCAGTGAGTCGCATAACGAATGGATTTCCAATCCCTACTCTGAATATCTCTACCTGATGAGTTCAAACAATGACGTGCATTACTGTGGGCGAACACTGTCGAAAAATCTTTAAGTTGCTTCTCTATTTATCATAGATATCGTTTCACTCGAGTACCCACCTGACATCCTCCAATTCCACAACCTTTGTCACTCACCAAAGCTCAGTGATGTGTACGCTATGAAACCGACCGTCCAATTTAATTTTCCGCCATACTTCGGGTATTTGTATCATCCGCTACATAGGTGTGGTAGATTAGAAAACCCGAAATGACCAAATCATCTCAAGTCTTATGGATATCTGGTTTGAGGTTCGGAAGAAATTCCGCACCTTAGTCAGACTAATGTGGGCTTCAGAAATTCATCCACCACCTGGACATATTGATCTATGTGCGCAAACAAATGCCAACATATGCACCGTAAAATGGAGCAGATTCATTCATCTTCTAGTGTAGCTTTCGGCTCGGCTTCATAATGATGTCTGGGTGACTGTTAGTTTAGGTGACGGATAAGCAACTCCGAGGGTGGTCCTTCTCCAAAGCTCCCGAACTAGTCTAGCTGACAGTGCAGAAGGGGCGATCAGAATTTGGACAGGCGCTCCGTATCGATCAATAATTAGGCTCTGATGTATACCATATGAAGGGGCCGTGGACAAAACAACACGACAATACTACTTTTTACTCTTTTTCTTTGCTCATGCTAGCCCTCTTCATTTCCAGTTAGTGTGCAATACATTGTCGTTGACTGGTGCTAGAGATGAAGTTAACTTGCTTTGTAAACAAGTGTCGCTATTCGCATTGGTTCCATCAACGTCGGTACTCTAAATCCGTTCACAGAGTGGACAAATCCTGTGAAGCTGCAATGACGATATTACCTAGTCTGGTGACGAAACGTTTGCAGCCGTAGTACTCAGATCGGACAGCAAGCGAAAACCCCCCATCCGCACTCAGATCTAAGAGCATTCTCAATGGTGGGTAGCTGATACATTCCCAATAATGTTGTCAAGACCGATGGCCGTTATTACGAGGAGCCAGCTTACGGTTAGCGTTTAAGCCAAGTGACGTGGCGCAAGAGTGGATCGATCTAAATTTGGAGATTCAACTCGAGCAGATATCAAACGCGAATCTATGTGGGGCAAGCGGCAAGTTGAACCCTGAACTTGAACCATTTGAGTTGTGTTGATTGATATAAATTAGCATTTCCGGTAGGTTAAAAATTATACCCATGGAATTGATAAAACACAAGGTAGCAAAGAGCACTATTTTCGACTGTAAACGCCTGATGAGATTATCTAAAAGAGTGCTCTTCGCTACCTTGTGTTTTATCATCTCCGATAAGGCTGTATTAGTAGTTTCCTCAACTTATTTAGTCCGCTATGCTCTCATGCAATACGAAAGCATCAGTCCTGGCTGGTCTTTGGTGTTCGCATTTCGTCGCGGTTGAGCTGCGCGGTAGCAGCAGATTACACAAACATTCAGCGAAAACCACAACCGTCGTCCACATTTGGGAGCATTCCAACAGTCCTATGATGACTCTGACGTTTAGGCAAAAAATGGCCCCGTGTTCTCAGCCTCTTTTGAACTGGAGATTATACCAGATGACCAGAGGATAGACTTTGAGTATGAGCACGAAATAACTCCCCTTGGGTCTCACCTAATGGCTATGCAAGCCCTACTGAAGAGGCTAACGCTTAGCGTTGCACGCTTTGGTATGTTCTTTACACTGCGAAATGACACCATCGAACCGGGTCGGTTCATCAGCAGAAGACACAATCACTCAACAGTGATTGGAGGTTGTAGGTTGGTTCGTCAACTTTGATAGTTGGATAACCTCCGCTGTTCACTTCACAGAGAAAGACAGTACGCATCAGCGTAGCCAGTTATGTACACGGCAGATGATAGATGGAACAGAAAGTAAGAGAATACGATGAAAATGTCAAGGGATACGTGACCCGACTCGTATCGGCTGATAACCGCACAAACCAACCGTATTAGCGAAAGGCGTCATTAATTAAAGATGGAGTCTTGAAAAACAATTTAATCCCATCAGCAATAGGTTAGTGTGCTCGATAACGATGGGCTTACGGAGAGCGCGTTCAAACGATTTCGGTTTTTTCTTCCAAACACAGCCGAAGATGTAGAATGGAATGGCTGTCAGCATGATCAAGACGCCCATCACTGAAAAAAAGAAGTATATGAGGTATGAAAGTGTTGATATATACGGACGTGAAAGGGAAGGGTCTTATGCAATAGTAGCTACGGGAACAAGGTGCAAGCAAAAACAATCCCAAATCGGTGACTTAGAGTAGGATCATTCGAGTAATAAAAACCGGCAGCCAAGTGCTAGGTAGGGTCCAATTCCCGACTGACAGCGTCTAGACCTAAACAACTGTTCAACTGGTGAGACTACGAGCAAAACGGATGACTGAATGTCAAGCAACATCTAAAATTCGTCAAATTATTCTATTAAGCAGTGAACCGCAGTGGTGACTCAAGTGGGATTCGCGTGTGAACCAGCTTCGAAACAGCAACATCATCATTCCACACATTCGCTAGGAGGGAGAAACACCACAGTTATGGCTCCGCAACAAAATTCAATCACATGGTAGAAATAAAAAAACCCAAAACAAAACACGACAAAACAAACATGATTATGCGTTGTTTTATGCGATGCATTGTATCGACGAGACCGCGATTGGAGGTGCATCCAGAGTGGGATGGGGCAGGAAAAAGAAGCTCACAACACCAGCGCTATTGCAAACACTTCTTCATCATGTAGACAAATGTACCCAACCAAACGTGTTCGTCGTACTTGGGACCACAACCCAGGAATCGAGAGGATCAGACCAACGCCAACTTCGTAGTAAGGGGCTTCATTCTCTTGAGAAGGGTATCGACTGGCCTCCTCCTCTATATCCGTCCATATCCCCGGAGCGCAAACAACGCACGACGCGAGAGTCGGTGGGCTGGCATGCGTAAGACATGGCCCAGCCATCGGAGCCTGGTGGGTTATATAACAGGTCTGAACGGTTCACTCGCTCTTCCTGCAACAAATACGAGACACGGAGCACACTCATTACTCACGCGGTGCTCCCAACAGACATGAGCTAGGCTGCGAAGGCAGCGATGGTCAAACAGAACTTGCCTCTTTACGTCTGTCGATTTAATGGGCCAGGTTTCACAACCGTACAGGAGGATTGAACGGACGGCTACATTATAAACTCTGTCCTTCAGAGCGAGAGTGATGTCACGCCGGCGCCACAAGTGCGGAAAATTAGCGACAGCATTTAGTGCCTTTGCCATATGCTTCGTGATCTCATTTTCGATCGCACAAGCGATGATACAGATACATAGGCAGTTGAACTACTTTTAGCCGATCACTACCAATGGTCAATGCAGTGGGCGGTCGCTTCCAAATTGGGAGGTAAACTCTTCAATTGGAGGGTGCAGAGCAAAGCCTGAAATGCCTGACAGCCAGCGCTAATCTGTTCAGTGCTGTTTGGCACGTTCGTGAGATGTCACAATAAAGTGGTAAACTCCAAGTCAAGAAGTTCGTAACTTGGGAGGAGATCCTCACTTCCTAAGCCACGTCCGGTAAACGCAAGTTTCGTAATATCGTCAATGGCGAAGTATAGAAGGGAAAGTGACGGCGGGCACACATGCCTCACACCGATGGAGACATTAAAAAGCTGCGACAATCTGATATATATATATATATATATATATATATATATATATATAATCACACATGCCCAATATACATTTGGAAGAGTGCCACAACACATGAGTAAAAATAATAAAAAGGAGGAAGGAGAGTCAAAGGAAGGGATGCAAAGTTCCACGTACTGTGTGGGCAGAAAGCTTCCCGGTTGACTAGGCCAAAGAAGACTTAAGGGGCCCCGCCCCGAGCCTTTGGTTTTAAATACTTGAACAGCAAGGCAACGGGGCGAATACGAAGACAGTTGATGGCCCGGTGACTCATTCGCCTTCTTTATATTCGGGTGCAGTCCAGAAAGTAGCCGGTGGCCAGAAAGTTGTTCATCCGCTCTCCGTTAAATACTCACCTCTAATCACAGAAGTGTGGTCAGTGACGCTATATTCAGTCACAGTGGATTTGACACAGCGTCGTACGAGCACTAGTGGTATTTAATGGAGAACCAGATGATCAGCCCAGAACTCCACACCCTCTGAGACGCTGGCGTTGAATGTCCGCGACTGCATATTCATCCCACCTGCAAAGCAGACGAGACTAATTCACAGGTACGTACACAAGGAAGGCATTCCCTGATCCGCAACCTAGGGAGACGCCCGCTAGCGTACAGCTCCACCCGAACCGCACGCACAAAGCCCTCTGATAATGTTTATATATTACTTGGGCACATTCTTCCTGATCAAACAGTCCCAAAAGGCACGTCTATCCACCGAATCGAAAGCACCTTTAATATCGAGGGATACGACTACGGTCAGTCGTCAAGACAAGTGGCGGTACACCAACAATTGTTGTAAAGTGAGGATTTGCTCAATGCAGCATTGATTTCGACGAAATGCGGTTTGATTATCACGAGCTTGGTTCTCAAAGGTGCTAGTCAACCTGTGAAGGATGACAGAGACAATTAACTTGAAGGCTATCAAGAACAGACTGATAACTCTATGGTTGTCGCCCTCTGAACTGAATGCCGAAATTACAGAGCGAGAAGATATAAATCTGTGTTGCATCATAGTAGTTAGATCAGGCACCTGCGTAGAATCACGTCGCTGATCCTGAAAGGGTGGCAGAACATTGCAGCTGCACTACATCTTATCCGGGTGCGATACGCTCCCTATACCTGTAGTCCGCAAAATGGGCGACAAGGTATCTCCTAAATGCCGACACCGATTTCGTTTCGACTAGCGTCTCCGGCAATTTGTTCCAATATTTCACCACTCGACGCTCGAAATATAGGGTGGGCGATACGCTTTAAATCCGGTGCCACTAGTCTGCATCGGTGTCCGCGTGGTCTGCTTGATGAGTAAATGTACAGCAGCGGCATTAATAGAGGGAGGTGGCCCAGGTGCAGTATCTGGTGCATCATTGTGAGATCAATTCGAAGCCGACGATATGACAGGGTATACAGCCCTAGTCTCCTACATCGGTCCTCGTACGACATACCCCGTAAACTGGGGATGAGTCGGGTGGCTACATGCTTAACCGGTTCCAGTCTCTGCACCTCACCTATTGTGATCGGAAAATAGGCGGGTGAGCCGTACTCAAGCGTCGGTCTTATCATGGAAGAGAACAAGCGAGTGGTAATCTCTTCAGACCAAGTGCAGAAGCTGCGCTTTACCTCCCAAAACAGGCGTAGTCCGTTGTTGTAGTCTGTTCGTGTTGTCGACAGACTTCCGATCACAGCGTGAGAGTACGTCTAGATTCTTTGCGGAACTGGTGGGATGCAGCGAGTGGCCGGTCAGGGTGTACATACGTCCATTACTCTCCTTCCGCAGACTCATGAATGACGACTTGATCGGCAGATCAAGTTCTGCAGACCACAGGGATAGGCGGTCGGGGGCCTGCGAAAGGACGTCACAATCTTCAGAAGAATCAATAGCCTGCCAAATCTTTAGGTCGTCTGCAAACAATGCACAGGGCGAGGTACTTCGTTAATGTGGGTCAAGGACAAAATAAACCCCAGTACTGTGTCTTTGGGTACACCGCTAATGGAGGGGTACCATGCCGTTAGATAGTCATCCACTTATACTCGCCATTTACTCCCAATGAGGAAGTCACTGATCCACTGGTGCAGTGCGTCACCAAGACCACACATCCTCAGTGTTTGGAGGGGGACCTCAAGGTCCACGTTATCGAAAGCTTGACTGAAACCAACGTAGACAACATCTACTGACTTCCCCCAATTCAACGCCCCGCAACAATCTATGCCGCGTCAACAGCAGGTTGGTGATGCAAGAGCGGCTCTACATGAAATCGTGCTGTGCGGGCGTTAGGAGGTCCTTCGACTTCACTTGCTGCAGAAGACCATTTTTCACAATCTTCTCGAGCACCTTCACCAAAACAGAGGTGAGACAAATCGGCCGGCACTTGTGGTACTTGTGAGTTAGCAGCACTGATGATGGCCATGCACAATCTGCTTCACACAAACTGTGCTCGGCGCAGAGAAAGCTGTTCCTCGAAGTGGTTTCTAACAACAACGACAAATATAGCAAACACAAACAGGTGAACGAATCAGAAAAAAGGAGTCGATAGTGGCAGGTTATCGGAATGAGTGTCGTTGGTGGACCGCAGCAGCCCGACCTCGTCTTACTCGGTCCTATAGTAAATCGGCTGGTTGCGACAGAGGTGAACATGTAGGAAGATCGCAGGCGACGGTGATTGGAAGAAAACAGATTGTGCGGTGGATATAGTTAGAGAAACACAATATAGTTGAAGCTCACACAGTGACTGAACGAACCGCGAGTTACCGTAATCTATAGAAATGTAACGCTGGCATCATTAACCGCCAACCGAGAAACATTACGAAAAACACCAGACTGCAAGGACGTACGTGATTCTTTGGGCGCACCAACAAAGGTGAAGATAACCAAAAACAGTGTGACAGCAACGTAGATGATAGCAAACGCAAGAGGAGCCTGGAAACGAATATGAGACATAAAACGTAAGGAACAAGCTGTGCGTGTGTAATTGCAACTGTTTTCGGGATAAGTAAATAAACAAATTGTATATTCCTCGACGATGCGAGAAGCTCTTTCCTAAAAAGAACAGATCAAATAATGGTGCAACCTTCCCATGACATTGCATTAATACTTTTTTTAAAAATAAACATGCGCAATTTCAAATTAGGTAACAAAGTAGCCAGAATCGTTCTGCTATTTTTTCTGTCAATGAACCAAGATTCTACACAATCACATAGCAGATGTTTGGGCCGAGAGAACAAAATGTAATGAAAGCGGCTGTTGTCCGAAATGTTATGTGTATGTGTTTCGAAAATTTATTCAGGCACCACCGATACCGTTTTCGGAAGCGTTATCTAGGGACTGTGATGTCCCGAACATATTAATCGCGTTTTGGACGGTTAAATGCTTACTAATGGCAAGCTAAAAATTGCAAAGTGTATTGAATTTTCTGAGATTACTTGGAAGGTTGTTCCAAATCTTTGAGTAGTGGGTTAGAAAGAAACGTCCTCTGACTCTCATAGTAAGTTTTGGAATCATGACCATGATCTCTTTGTTATGGATTGGATATCTGCTATTTAAACATATGTGTACAACGTTATCAAGACTGTGAATTTGAGAGTTTATGATTCTGTAAAGAAAACATAGGTTCAGCTTCATTATCCGAAGCCAAACGGGGTCAAATCCAAGTTTGCCACATCGCTCTCTGTATGTCAACTTTGAGGAATATCCACATGGCGTTTTCGCGAAGCGTCTCTGGACCCTCTCAAGAGCATGCTGGTCAGATTTTCGCAGATTAGACTGGATCACTGAACTAGTTCATACACGGCAATACATATGTTATGTAAAGCGATATGCGAGATTCCGTAAAATGATGGTAGATGTGACCGATGGTCTTCATGGCTTTCGAAACTTAAAAGTCACTATGTTCAGAAAAGTTAAACGTAAGTAAATATCGCACGCCCACGATGCAAACTGTCCTGCATTGCGAGATATATGCGTCTTGTAGTAATAAACTGTCTGGCGGCACTTGGCAGTTGTACGACAAAAGATTAAACTTGTCCGCGGCAAATGACATCTGCCACAGTTGGCAGCAGGAGTCAATGGTAGATAGGTCATCCTGAATGAGATGTATGGCTTCCTGGGTATTTGCAACTAGTTGTGAGTTGACAACTTTAATGTCATCAGCAAAGATAAACGTGACACCATTTCTTATTCTCTGGAATATATGGTTAGTATATAGTAGAAAAAGAAGAGGACCAAGAACACTCTTTTGAATCACTCCACTGGTGATTGCTTTTGGTTCAGAAAAATGGTCGCCGATGCGCACCACCTGCTGTCTACCAATTAGGTACGAGGACAGCCAAGAAAACATCGGTTCTTCAATGCCTATAGCCTTCAGTTTGTCCAATGACCTATGAAGCACTCTATCAAAGGCTTTTTGCATATCGAGGAACAGGAGTAGAACGCTGTTTCCGTTGTATATGGCAGCCGTTGTGTGATTTAAGAAGTCTATCTGGCATGTTCAAGTCAAGTCAGCATAAGCTTTATCTACCCAAAAGGGTGCATTTTCAAATTTTTACATTATCAACCGTAAATTTACCAGAGGGTTACCATTAAAAGATGCTAAGTTTACAAATGGGTAGAAAATTGAGGATTTAGTGTCATTGATCGATCGAGCAACGATCCCAAAAATATTGGACTAAATCTTTGGAATTTGTATCCTGCGAAAACAAAATACGTTTCGCAAAAATGTTTCTTCAGAATCCATTTCAATTGACACAGAATTTTGTGTCCGGAGACAATATATCGGGGATAGTGCGCGATATATTGTGTGCATATTCAAAGTTAGAGAGAATAAGGGGTCTCTAGCCAGCTGAGCAAGTGATAAACGAAAATGAATAGCTGGTAATAGAAGTAAAGGGTTAATAGATAGATATATATGGTGGATTCCCAAATACAGCGTGACAGCCAGTGACGGATTTATGCACTGAAGTCTCCAGCATAGACAACAACATCAGAGTTTTAAGCTCCATTCGAAAGTTGGTGAAATTCGCAATAAAAGTCTCCTTAACTACTACACAGCTGCAGTCGGTTTGAGCGTAAGAGTGGATCACAATAGGTTACGTTCCACTCCAGGATGTCTGTTTATCTTCATGAGCCTTGAAGCCGAAACGCACAAAGTAGGCTGTCAGTCGGGAACCGATCCAGCAGTGCGACCTCGGTTTGTCGTTCAATGTGATGCCAACAGCAGCAAAGCCGAATGCATGTGCTTCTGTGTCACCAGACAGATGCAGACAATACTTGGTTCCGCATCAGTAAGGGATGCCAACTTAACCGCAGCGCAAGGGTCTTGTATTAGGATTTTAGAAAGGCTGCAAACATCAACAGCGAAGGATTTCAGAGTATGCGCTACGCCGGCCTGCTGCTCGATGTACATGAGGGTTCGCACATAGACAGTTGCCAATGAGAATGAAAACTGGAGTCGAAGGGAGACTACTGGCTGGATTCTTCGAGCATCGGCGAAACTGACATAGGAAGTAGATTTAAATGAACGAGAATTAGCAACAAAAGTTAGTTTAGCGAGTGAAAAATGTAGTACCCAGGGGCGGAAGAATGCGACTTTGTCACCACAGTCGTTGTGGTTGCGAAGTCCGTAGTCATGTCAGAGGGCGCGGTTGCCCAAACCGAAGTGATCAGTTGGTTTACGGTACACCACCCCGAGCCTTTGGATAACTTACCAGTTAGGCAACGGAGTGAAGCTATGAAATCGCACCCAATGGGAGCCCGTGACAGTTAAATTTGTTCATACACATTTCTTTCGGTCGATTGCTAAAGTGGGGCGCAAGCTTCTCCACAACTTCACTAGCAGACTGCTGGAGTACAATGCTCCACCAGGGTGAAGCGAGGCTCAGTGACCTCATCTGGTGGCGAGTCATATATGTCACGTCGCAGTGTTGTTAAACAGACATTTGTGGATTTTGATTGGAAGTATGCTTGTCAGGCGAAAACCCACGTCTTGAAACATTGCCACTGAATCAGACAACTGGCACCACGATGTTGTTCGGCGAGCTAGTTGGGTACCAGTGAACAGGAATGGAACAACACAGTGCCCGTGAATACAGGAATGGGGGACAAACAAGGGCGTAAGTGTCGATAAGGAAGTGTAATTTCTGATGCTACTCTCCAAACTCGATCAGCTGGCCAGTAAAGCAGAAACTTCGGATAGAGATCGAAGGCTACTCTATGTGAGCTGAGGTTGACGAAACACAAGCAGAATGAAGGGGAGGGTGGGGTGGCACTGCGGATCAAGTACATAGTTGATCTTGGAACAAGCAGGTCTGATTAACATGAACTGGGTGCACCAAATCTTGCCGATGGGTAAGTGAAACTGGCCAGAGTGACCATGTTTAACAACCGCCCAAGTGAGTGCTAACACTGCCTAAACAAACCAGCACAAGGAAGGAAACATAAGAGATCAGAAGCTGGCTACAATGTGGGTGGATTGGGCACCGTAACGCATACCAACAAGTGGGCATCGCGGGAGAAAATTCGAGCGTCCATGCGTGTTGGCGACAGCTCAGGAAATTATGCCTAAGTTCGACTTCGAAATGTGATGGCTGCTATATCGCTTTAGGTACCAACAACATAACGGCATACACAATCACCAGGCAAAAATGCTCTCGTGAGACCTAGCATTCATCGTATGTACAGGTAGAAGTAAAAACAGTGGGAATGGGTATACATTTATCAGAGTGCTCAGCGTGTCACTTACCCATTCCAATTCGAACAAAGCCAGTGACAATTATGAGAAGCAGGGCGAACATTTTGGCATATGTGAAGAGGTCCTGAACGCGTGTGGATAAACGAACAGAGTAGGCGTTGATGAATGCCAGTATTACTGGAATAAAATGGGGGATGGGAAAAGCTAATGAGTGATGATTTAAAAAGTGGTGGGTAGCAAACAATGCAAACCGCAAGGTGACCTGACAATATGAAATTCCCATTGAATAGCAGCAGGTACAAAAGTGGAGTGTTAAAGAATTCACGACCTCATGTACAAAAGGAAAGCAGTTAGGAATATGTGACCAGTGCCCAACAGTCGTGCGCTGGGTATTCCAGAAATCAGAAAACAAAAGTGCCAGAACCTAAACATTTGTTGAAAAAGTAAAACACGAGCTGGTCAGGAAAAATTAGAATTTGCCAAGAGACGAGTTGTGTCAAGATTGTTAAGCGGAAGCTTCTGGTTGACTTTCGGAAGTTAAAGTATAGCACGTAACAGCTTTAGCCGTTTTCAGATAGACCGAACCTTGCTAATTCTGGTAATGAAGTTCAGCTCAGTCATACAACTATGATCCGGATACCGAAGTATGGTGAATCCAGTTGCTACAACTCACAACGGTAAAAAAAACGGGGTTAAACGAAAATATAATACATATAAAATGGAATCAGGACAGAAGTGCACAAAAGCAAGCCGGAAGGGAAATTAACGGCTAGAGGCTAGAAACGGAATGCAGAAACCTCACTGACTGTGTCACTGCACCATCTTTGATGGTCACAAACCACTGGTGTCGACGATCTAAGGACGTCCATTCAGGATTAAGTCTCTCAGTCAACTTCTTCATGCTTCCATGCCAAGTAATGGACTAAGCACCTCGCAGTTTCACCTAACTTAGTGCAGCCACGGCGTAGTATACACACGTACACGTGTTCTGTAGTACATTCTTGACAAGATGCGGAGAAAATTTCCCGGCATTAAATCGTGCGGTGCTCTGGTGTTAACGTTTCATTGAAAATTGCGTCGGGAAAGAGCTGCCTTCAGTTGCCTCGATATATATTGTCCGTTCACTTTTATAAACAACAACTTTTATGGGCCGATGAGGTTCCTCCTCCGATTCAGTTAAAGGAACGACGAAGAACTCGCTGTAACGCACATGAACATCTACCAATCAGGCTCGTCTCCCACTGGCTGTCGGGCTTGCTCTGTGGATTCATTTGCACACTATGATAGGGCACTCCGATCAAACAACGTAAAACGTGCACCTTCGCGCGTGTGTTGCCTAGGTGTGAACCATAAACTCTAATAATAACCGGAACCGCTTTTTTCAAACTTGTCTGGATGAGTGGAGTGCTTCCATGGTTGGCAGCATCCGGTTCCGGATTTGCCTGTCACTGTGTATTGCATAGGATAGCCACAGGATGCCTGCGCCTACAGAGGGACCATGGGTGGCTTGCGTTGCACCACGCACAGCTCCATCTACACACCCCATTTTCAGTGTAAACCCGAAGGAATAAGACAGGGAGGCATGTGGATGGGAGCCACGTTTCATCAACGCAGCCGGCCCACACTTCAACATGTACAGCAGAAGCATTCCTGTCTAGGTATGTAGGGAATCATGCGTAGCAGACGTACACAAGGCGGTGACTGGGCCGTAGTCCGCTCCAAACTGAGTGCATGGAAACATTCTTTGAGCCTAGCACGGCCAGGAGGACCGTCGACCCCACCCCCCAGCAACGATTTAGTCTCGTGGATCCAGTAATCGAGGTGGAGGGTGTTAGACAGGCAAGCATCTTGTCAATATTCACATCAAGCGCAGCCACACCGGGGATATCAAACAACTAACATAGAGTTCAAGAGAAAGCGAACACGTAAAAATGACACAGAATAAGAAGCGGAGTAAAAATATTGAACAAACCAAACAAAGAGGAATGATTTTTATGCAGATTAAAAAGAACTAGATTAAGTGTAAGTTGGTTTAGCCCAACTGCGGTGACGAAGCATCATGAATGCAACATCAACCTCAGCATGAGGCACGGAGTGCTTCCAGAATGACTAAGATACAATGGTTTGTCAAAGGAGCAAGTGATTCCCGCAGATTGGGTCACTATCCCGTATTCGAGCAAACAAGCGGATATTCGTCTGGAGGAAAACTGGGCTAATGCGCCATATCCGTCGATTCACTATGCCTGTCTGCCGATGCGTCATAAACACATAGTACTAAAGGGGACATCTCATGGATCTTCAATAATTCAGATCACAATAACACACACACTGTACGATAGGACCCAATAGGAAACGCTCAAAAAATGACGGGACGATGGTAAGATTATTAATTCAGAAACTGGGCTCATCAAAACATGGTAGCGTCGAAACGACATGGAAACCAACACATCGTTCGAAGCCAAATGCCAGAGGCTCTAACTGGCCAGTTGCGATACTCATCATCATCATCATCATACACGTTAGCTAGAGGTGGGGAACACCTCAGCTACTGTGCGGCAATACACAGAAAAGGAGAAAAAAATGCAACTGGTGCAAGCTGGCTGAGCTACCGGTAACGGATGGGCATCGTCCCGGTAAGCTACCAGCCGGCTGCTGTGCACCCAAAAAAATTACTATGCAAAATCATTTAAGGCTAAATAATGAGATCGTGGTTGGAAGGGGAGGCTGAGGGATGGGGTGGGACAAAGAAACTCACTCACAGCGATACTGGCTACCTAGTAAATTTCGTGAGCCATCTCTGACTCCGATATGCGATGTGCATACGCGACAATTAACAGTCATGCGATGGGTGCAATCGTGCCAAAAATCTGGCGAAAATAGAGCACAAACTGATCAGAAAGCTTAGCTAACCGATGACGCAAAATTGAAAGCAGACTGATGGATAAGAACATTTCATTGATTTGCTTGGTGATAGCCACTAAACCATGTTGCTTGATATCACTGAAATAACCCCAAAACATAACTTTCGGTCTCATAAGCCCATCGCTGTTGTAGCCTGCAACGTTACCACAGACCCAGCATATTCCGACAGAATCAATACCTGTAGTGGTGTGGAAAATGCCAGAAGTCACTCAACGATGTCGAAACGATGCTGGCTTTTAAATTCTTGCTATTCGTCACGATTTTAAGCTGTGCGATATTTTCAGACACTACGAACTTTAGCATCGCAGCGTTTATCTCCACGTGTGCAGATGGTTCGGAAAAGAAAATGCCAGATGCAACCAGGTCACTATCGACCGCAGAGCGAAAGTACTTCTGGTTAGTGAATGAAGGGAGTGATTTGTTCATGCGTCTAAAGGAAAAACAGTGAGAGAAGCTGGACGGTTGTTCGTTTAAGAATAAGACAAATTGATGTCAACGAACGCAGTAATTGCGAATAAAGCATGAATTCAAAAGAAAATGGCACCGAAATGATGAAGTGCCGCAACTAAAGAAGCAGAACATACACACATCGATTGCAGCCGGACAAAAAATCGTGCCCAGAAAATTTTACACAGGGAAACAGATATATAACCGAGTGCCAGCACAAGTTCAATACAGAATGGGGACTTCACTAGGTCGCAGAGCTCACGTACACTGGACCACAGTAAGCGCCGCCCTCTACGGTAAGCGGATTTGGTCTTCTCTATATGAAAAATCCAAGTGCATTCAGGTCCGTGATCATCATTGTCCCTGGAGTGCTGTCCATGTCAGGTGGCAGCAATATGTCCGGGATAATGGAGGGATACGCGCAGATGGCTGGATGGTGAAGATCAAGTAGGTTCGCGAGGCCAACATATGAAACGAAATGCATTGGTCTGGGCAAGTGTTACGTGTACCAGTTTGTGGTTCCCCAAAAGGAGCTCTGTTTTGTTTCTCCAAGTGTGGAAAGCGAGGCTGGAGGAGCACATGACTGACATCTCAATGACAAATGAGATCACAGGTCGCGTGGCTTTAATGCAGCTCACTTGAAAGGCTGGCATCTAAGCGCTCACTTTGCGCTCGGTTCGAAACACCATGAAACATGACATACAACCGGAACTAGTGAAATGTTTCATGCCATCATCCAGCTGGATAACTTGACTGGATTGGTTTTAGCGTTAGGCTATCCATGACATAAAATTGATTGTTAAGCGGTGAAGTGAAGGCCACAAGGAAGTTGTCTCATCGATGCCTGTTCGTTGATTTGTGGCTAAATTACGTTATCCAGATGTTGTTCCTTTGGGGAATGAATGTACGCATGGCGAAATTAAGTTTCAAATTAGATCCTCTCCATCTTTCATTCTCGTATTCATGGTTAGCAGGTGGATTGATGTTTTGATTGCAAAACACCAGCACAACGTACTGATACGATTATGTTGATGATTATGGATGTTCAGACAATGCCGAGTATTATAGCCTAAGTGATAAAAAGATCTAATTTTCTCGTTGATAATGTGTACAAAGCCATATTTAAGACATTTGTTCATGGAAGAATCCGTTTGTCGAAATACGCACCAACTCCAGGAACGGAATAGCGGGAAGCTTTAGGTGCGTAAGTACACTTCGGTTCTCTCAGGTTAAGATGGAGACAAGGAAAGTGACTTACATAAACAAACGGCAGATAGACAGCGTAAAACCGTTTCAGGTTGTTCGCAATCGGGAAACACAGGCTGCAAAATGTACTTCGCGAAAGTCATTCCAATGACGGCCATTGTAGCAGGCCTTGCAACCATGACTTCAATCCATAATCGCATAAATCCCATGAATGGTCCAAAAGCATCCAAATGATAGGCGTAATCCCCACCAGAACGATGTATCAGTGTCCCCAGTTCAGCATAGCAATATGCACCGAGCATAGAAAACAGACCACAAGCAATCCATATGACGATGCTGGCACCAAAGCTGTGTACATTTTCCACTATGCCAGTAGGGCTAACAAAAATACCAGAACCGACCATAGAACCAATGATTATGGTGATGCTGTTCACCAGTCCAATAGTCTTTTTCATTCGTATGGGAGCATCAATATTAACGTCCGGCGTTTCATCAAAATTCGGCTTCAGTTTTACATCAGCCATAATTCAGTGGCAATTGAAGCTGAAAAGAGAGAAACAGTAAACAGACAATTAACAAAACATGATTCGAGAAAAATTCCCGGAGGAGACATCAGAATCAAAGAGGTAAGGAACAAGCTTGTTTTCAGTGGCTCATCATCTGGCTATTGCAACCAAAAATGAGGGAGTTAAGATTGACACTTAAAAATAAGACGCAGTGAACAACCGGAACGAAAGCTCTAATCAACATAGTTACTTCATTGTTGTAGTTGAGTAGAAGTCGGAGGAAGTGGCGTGATCGCCAATGTTAGCTGTGACGGCCTATAGACAAGGTAGACGGGCCTGAACAAATTTCTTCGGAGCACACACATCTCAGTTTCGGAACCAAATAGCGATCGTCTCTGCTGTCGATAGCAGGCGATACATGACAGCTCGTGTGTAGCGTCCCGGTACCCAGTATATAGGTTGAAACGACCCATGAGGATTGATTTGGCACTTAGAATCCACTAAATGCGACAACACCACTAGTCAGAGTATTTCTCATACCGCTTCAGAGCCAAGCAGTGCAGTGTTCTCGAGTTTATACGGACATTTACCTGGTCGCATACAAAAAAGAACAATTGCCACGGTACGGGCTACAGAAAGTGCATACATACAAGGAAATTTGTGAGTGGTTTCCTGACGTTTCAACTGGTTTCAAGTCATAAATCGGTCACAAATAACATTCTATAAGTGGCAACGGAAAGTGTTCAGACGGTCTGTCCCGCCATCGTGTCACCATTAAACAGGAACGGTATGTATATTAATCACTTTTACGCAGCATAGGTTTCACCTTTGACACTTGCGGCTTCATATACTTGTGTATGCATTTTTCAGGGTATGATCTACGATTGAGAATGCCTCGGATAAATCTCAACTCACCTAAAGCGCAACATCTGTACCTATTCTCCTCGCTCTCTCCGTAAACCAAAGTACAAAATTCCTTGTCTGGCTTATTGGAACATAACTAACGAAGTGTGGATATATTGCACATTCCAAGTTCCCATCTTGTGTGCTCTGCTGCGCATTTACCATTCGGATGCCCTGATTCGGACATCCAAAAGACAATGACTCTTTGCATTTTAGTGTGAGGAAAAACGTTAGGTTGCTATGGGCAGCTGTAGCGGACCATCAGTTTCCCGATACATTCGATTATCCGCGACACAAAAGGTACCGTTTACATGAGGCACGAATTCGGTTCACACAAAGCTCTTGTTACTAAAGAACTAACACGTTTAGAATCAAGAATATCAGTATTCAATGCAAATCCGGATAGAAAAAATGATGCAAAAGTCGACTTTCTGCTACTTCGGGGTGCGCTGGCAATCGACCCGTGAACAATCTGGAGGCTGCGTACTAGTATGTGAAAAGTGAAAGCCGCAGTAAGCGGATTGGATAATCGAGTAGAGAAGAATTCGTACCTAACCATTGGAACCCCACTGATGGAATGCGAACCAGTAGTGCTGTCTATTCTTCCAAAGACTGTCAACATTAAAGTTATACTATTGGAATGAGTCCAGCAAAATGATGAGGTAGGTTTTACGCACCAGCTATTAAAACATAGTGATATATATATATATATATATATATATATATATATATATATATATATATATAATTACCCCACATGGCCAATAGTGTAATTGGCAGTGCAACAACGGATGGGAAATATAATAAACAAACGAAGACGGCGAGGAAGAAACGATGTTCATTGGAACAGAGAGTCACAAGAAGTACGCCATTGCGCACGGTTTCATGACATATCCGAAAGTGTTTCCAGCCATGCGTGTTCCTGATCTTTCACACCTTAGCCACGGAGCCGAGAGCGTCCCACCACGACTAGCTTTGACGTTAGCTCCTTCATGCTTCTGGCCCAAGTCATACGTTGGCCACCTTGCTTCCGCTTCTAGCTAACTACTGCGCGCGCGAAGAGGACACGACGAGGTAAACGATGAGGAGGCATGTGAAGAACATGCCCAAGACACCGTAGTCTGCGCAGAGGAGTTATGCTACTCAGAGGCCGGTAAAGTTTGTCTGATCTGAAAATTCTCCGTTAAACATCTTCATTCCTCGTGTGATGTCATCGTACACCAGCAATGCTCCGAAGGCAGCGGGGATCAAAAACAAACGGCCTCTCAACATCCTTTGCGCCAGCAGGCCAAGTCTCACAGCGATAGAACAGAACTGCTCTCACTGTGGATTTGTAAAACTGGCCCTTCAGAGACAGACTCAAATCACCTCGAGGTCAGAGATGGCGGAGATTGGCGAAAGCAACTTGAGTCTTCGAGACGCGCAGAGGCCTCATTCGTTAAACCATTAACGCTGAGGTAAGTTCCGAGCTAAAGTTGTTTACCAGTTCCAATGAATGACCTGAAAGGGTAAGTATAGGAGCAGCCCCTAATCAGTCCTGTGGGAAGAACTTGCACTTCGACGGTGCGAAGGTCATTCCAAACAGGAAGACAGATACCTCCAACCTACAAGGACATTTTGGGCGGCCTGCGAAGAATCACAGATTGCGGCGATGTCGCTTCCATATTCCAAATCCTAAACTCGATCACTCGGAAGCAACTCGACGCCGCAGGGTTCGCAGTTCACCAGAGCACTCACCAGAGTTTCGTCCATAGCGAAGTTGAACAATAATGGGGATGCTGGGCAAATCTGTCTCACGCCACTGCTGATACTGGAAAGCGAAAGTCCGCCGTAGACCCACACTCGGCCCGAGGTTTGAGAGTAGATGGCTTGAAGTAAGATGACACTTCTCGGGCACTCCGCTTCTCAACAGACAACTCCAAAGAGTAACTCGGTCAAAAGAGTCAAACGCAGGGCGTATAAGACAATGATCGTTGGCCGGCTAAATGTTTGACGACGCTCGAGTATTTGGCGGAGTGTAGAGATGTGACCGATGCAACTCAGACCTGAGCGTAACCCTGCTTGCTCTTCATGTATACTAGGTTTGCATACCAGGCTGGGCATCCTTAAAAGCGGGGCGGCGAGCACTTTGGATGCAACACAGAGGAGACTAATCTCTCGGTGGTTGGCGCAGTCAGTTCGTGTAGCCTCTCTGAAGACGGGCACGATATCCGCTTGGCTCCCATCTGATGGGATAACTGCAGTGACCAAAATCTCTTAGAAAAAGAAAGTTAATTCCTGAACAAGTGATGGGCCTTCATCAATGAAAAGAGGCGAAGGGAGTTCATCTGGCCCAGGGGCTTTGTAGTGCTTTAAGAGGCTAGGCTCATGGGCAACCTCGGCCTCAGAAGGTGGTGAAGCATCTGTACACCAGGGAGTGCCCTGGATTCCAAAATGTGAACTCATTGGTGCTGCTGGCCAAATAAACTACTGCTCAAAATGCTCGTTCCAACGCTCGCGTCGGCGTTTTTAGTAGTGCATTGGCTCGCCATTGGTTTCGCATTAAACTTCGCTTGCAGTCGTCCTTTTGCCGCCAGTAGTGAAGTGGTCTACAGGAATGAAAAGTGATAAACAGTTTGTATACTATTACTTTGCATCTTAGGTACCTAGGCTTCGTCTGACAATTGAAAAAAACGGATTGCTGAAGAGTGTGCCCAAAGGTCTATTGGGCGAAAGCAAAGAAATGCGGAAAAAACACATGATGTGATTTTGTCACAACAGCAGTAAGCATCATCAGCACATATGCACTTTAAACGAATACTTCACTGCCGCACAATCACAATGATCCACGGAACAAAAAATAAGAAGAAAAGGGGGCCTAGCACAAAACCTAAACGAACCATCAGGGTCAATGTGCCCACACCGTGTCAACAACATACCGTTACAAACAACTGGAGTCATCGGGGAGACGTTTTCCTTGCGGCTTTCAATGCCCCGCCTCATAATTAGCCATTACTCCCCAGATACTTTAGCACCAAGCGTACGTTAAAAAGGTCGTCGGAAAAGGTGACAACGAGTCACTGATGCCGACTGTGAGCCATGGTCTGTAAATTCTCAGACAAAGCACAAAACGTGTCACGTGGACTCTAACCTGTAAAATGAGATGGACCGAAAGCACTTGGTCTAGTTTCAGTGCCTTCATTGCCGTCAAGATTTGCCCACATCCGCTAAACGAAATAGGGTCTTCCTCGACAAGGAAGGACTAGGCATGTGTAGCAATGGCCAAAGTCAAAGCCAATTAATCAGTACTCTAGTTATTAAAAACTAAGCTGGCTATGCCCGCCTATTAGGTGGAAAGGGTGTAAGACGCACCACCACCTTAAGGGTTTACGCAAATAACTTCGGCTTCATTTGCAAGGTTTGTGAGATGTCTGCCTTGCTCTGTCTGGCCCACCGTTAGCTTACCATAAGTATCCACTGTGGGCAATATCGGTAATGGTTGTGACGATTTTTACAATAGTAGTTTTTCTCTGGGGGTGGGCATCTAACCCTAGCTCCTCCCTAACTGTTTAAGAATGCACGCGCAAATATGCAGATAAATATCGAAGATAGGGATATAGCATATGATAATACAGCCATGGCATGTACAGAAGTGGATAGCCAGATCGTCACTTAAAAATCCAATGTAGAGACTTCAAAAGTTGAAGGCAAAAGTTTGTAGTTCGGGAATGCTCAGGTGCGTTAAAGAAAATAAAAATTTAATAATCATCGTTTGATTCACAAGTAAAGCACATATAGATATTAGAAACTCATGAAGGGCAATCTTCGTGAGCCCACATTCGACATACAACGCAGCCGACCCACTGTTCACCAGGTCGACTGTGAACAAATTCTTCCCCACAGACCAAACCATTCATCGGCCTCAACAGACGAAGAAGACAGTCTTGACTGCTTTACTTTATTGATTTTCTTCTTGCCCCCTTGCTGCTGCTACTGTGCTTTTTGTTGTAGTGAACTTATAAGTGGTAACACTTATTACCTCGGCATCTTCACCTGTGCAGCATCCTCTTTGCTTGCTTGGGAGGACTGCTTTCGGAGTGGCATACAAGTCCTCAATGACCTGTTCAGTCAACACT